TTGAGTTATGTGATGAGCAGTGCACAAAGTGCAATAACTGACCAGCCAGTAATTTGCTTAATAGCCCGTCGAATCCACACTGCAGAGCTCAGGTTTAGACGACACTTTGAAGAGATGAGAGATAGTGACCTCTCCGTGATAAATTGACAACCTGTCTGGTGAGTTAGGGAGAGAGGGGGATCTTGGCCATGCCAAGTTGCTGCTAGCAATCGGACTAATGGACGTGAGCGGCTAGACAGGTTTCTGAGTTTTGACCCTCCCGTGATCGAGCTGGGCACAAGGCCAAGGCCATCGGAGTGAGGTGTGCCGTGTGCAGACTTCATAGGCTGGCATGATGTCTGCTTCTCATTTTATTAATATTTGTGATCTGCGTGGCAAGCAGGGCAGGGCCAAGAGCCGTGAGAGAACGGCGCGAGGCCGGTGGCGTGATTGATGATGAGTGCCACCTGCGCGCTGTACCGGTCTCGTATCTCTCACGGAGGAGCTTCGGAAGCATAAAAGGAGAGGCGATGACAGTGAAGGACGAGAGAGGACCAGGCCTGGACGTTATGTTGCTTTGCTTATGTGTGTGCGGCGGCCGCTTTTACTTTCGTTTTGTGTTTATTTATATATTAAAGTGTTAAACGTTCTACGGTTCCCGCCTCCTTCTTCCCTTATCAACATACATCGTTACAATCTGGATAATGCTTAATGCGTTATGTATTTATCCACTTGAACACTGTATGTCAATATTTGATGAAGATGAAGATTATCGATTTCTATTGATCTAGGCTTTTAAAATCATCTAAATGGGATAGTTCACTCAAAAATGTTGTTCCAACCAAATATTGTTCCAAACCTGTATGCATTTCTTTCTTCTGCGGAACACAAAAGACAAAATTTTGAATGTGAGGTCTTAAAGGGACATGATGATGGTACAAAAAGGAGATGGGAAAAATTCTATTTCAATGCTTTGCATTCTAAGTTACTCTGATAAACTTTTGGGTTCGCTCGCAAAACTTTTGTGATGGAAATACTATGAGGTGGGAGGAAAAACTATATTTCAGTGCTTTTACAAGTGAATGCAAAGTTTCTCAGGAAAAACGCAATACTTTTGTGAGAGAACTATAATTTTTCCTCCCGTTTCATATTTCCAACATGACCATGTCGCTTTAGGGTCTCTGTAGACTTTCATTGTATTTATATAAAAAAAACTGACATCTTTCCCTGATATAATTTTATTTGAATTATTCACACTGCAATTCTCGCAAACTGCTTTGAAACTCAATGGTGTACCACAGGATAACAGAAACTATGTGAGTGGAACATGACTTTTGGATATTGAGGATCTAGTTTTGATGAACTTTCAGGACAGACAGTGGGTTATGATTTAGCTAAAATTTCATGCAGGCTTTATCTGTTTGCCAGTATGTGGGTAACCCACTGGATGTTCTTTTCTAGAGGATAAAAAGAAATCAGCCTGGATTTAAAGTATGCAATATTTAAATTGGTTTGCATGCCGTCTTAAACGAAGGCAAATTATTTCATGGTTGCTTCATTTGAGATAATAATACAAGATTTCCCACAGTTGATCTTTACATATCATTTATTTTATATACAATTTTATGCAGGGTTACAAGTCCTGAAGAGGCTTTTCCACAGCATAACATGAAATTAGAAAAATTAAGTACATTTTTTGTTTATGTTTGTTTGATATACAGAATTCAGTTTCTTTAATGCGGCATAAAATTTCATTCATTGATTGCACGTGATTATCTTCTTATCAGGAATCAGGAAGATTTTAGATTTTTTTTTTTTATACAATAACTGTACACTTAGTGAAAAAACAACTTTATTGTTGCAAAATTAGACAACCTGTACACAAGCAATTTGTTGTACCAGCATTGTTTGATTAGGCAAGGGCATAGTCAAAGTGCAGAATTCAATTGTTTAGAATGAATAAATAGATAAATAGTTAAATTATAAAATTATGAATAAATAACGCCACAAAAAGCTGATTGATGTCCGTACATACAGGACTCCCTAATGGAATGGAACTGACAGTGATTGCAAAGGCCCATTTAGCAGTTGATGTGTTATTATGATTGGACATGTCAGTCTTTCTCCATTGATTAAAAAGAAGCAAATACCCCCAAAAATGTACCCAGTGTTCACAGTTCTTTTTTTTTGCATCTGCAAAATGATGAGTGCATATTATTCTGTCAATCCTGGTGACATTCAAAGTGAAGCCAAAGATGAGAAAGAAAGGCGTTGTCATAAAGAACTTTACCCCCCACCCCCAAAGAAATAAAAATAAAGCAACAAGAAAAGAGAAAAGAATATTTACAGAGATGACAGTCAAAAAGTCAAAGAAGTGACCGCAATTTTCTAGGGCTCAAGTATAGAAATGCATACTTGAAGTATATTTCTGTGACTTTTTCAAGGGCCGACTGACAGCTGATCAGACCCTGCCCACACCTCCGGGTGTCCGCTTGTTTGTTAAGAAATACAGACACATGTCTTTGCAGCAGACATGTATTGTCTCTGAACTGAGCTGACGGCAGGAGTCCACTTGTCCTTGTTATCTGGTGTTTTTCGCTCTGACTGCTGCTTTCCTGTTATGTTAGTGTGTATATGTGTTTGTGCAGTGCTCAGACACAGCTTTTGGACCCCTCACTGGACACACTGTTGACAGTAGAGATGTAAGAAATTTAACAGTTCCGGTTCCTGTTCCAATCCCTCTTAATGATTCTGGTTCCTTAATGATTTAACTAACATTTTTTTTCTTTTGGAGGAAGACATATTTGGATACAATTCTTAAATCATATTGCACATTGCCCTCAGCATTCAGTCTGTTGCCAAATGATGAGATAATTTCAGATTTCTAAAAAACAGATATAGCATTTTATAGATAAATATTAGTTCTTGTAAAAGTGTTGTCTTTAAATTACGTTTAAATTACCTTTTAAGAGACAACATAATTGCAGTCCAATAACTGACCTGAACAATTGCCTGTATTTCAATAATAAAAAATATCTAATATATATATATATATATATATATATATATATATATATATATATATATATATATATATGTTTCATTCAATTAATACAATTATAGTATTAATTTCATTACTTTTATAAAATACAGCTGATAACAAAACACATCTTCCTTTTAATTAATAAAAAAGGAAGTAAATAACCCAAATGCACCTGTTCATTTAAGTGAATCGTGAAGCAACTGGAATAGTTTGATTCTCCGAACAAATGATTCGTACGATTCAGTTCTTTTTAGTGAGACAGTGGCTGCATCCGAAATCGCATACTCTCTTGAGTAGGTACTTATTTTCAATAAGTAAGTACTTCACGACCGCTAAAACAGTATACGTTCTATGAATGTGTGTAGTATGAATGTACTATGGACGCACTACATTTGCCACATTATCATGTGACCTACCAGTGTCAGTTTTAGCCTAAGTCGCTTCACTGCCATCCTCTCCCGTGGCCTCATGGGATAGTAAAGTGTCTAGGGTATGCACACTTCAGAATCTCGCTTGGAATCTTGGAAGAAGTAGGTCATCCGGGTACTTTTTGGCTACTCTTTTATGAGTACTGTGAATTCAGACATACTTCTTGTCACATACTGTTTTTCCCTATACTATATAGTAGGGAAGTAGCCTATGCAATTTTGGATGCAGCCAATACATTTATTTAGTGATTCAAATATACAGCGCGAACGCTGTAGTATAGCGCATCAAAAGTTATGAATTACTCTGAGCAGTAACTTAATTCATGTGACTCACTGGCTAAACGGCAAAATATTACTTTGTCTATGTCCGCCTTGTGTGTTCTGTTGTATTAAATGGCTTGTGAATGACTGTTTGTTCAATTGATAAGCACCTCAAGTCATTGGCTTATGCCAAAATTATTATTACAACTAAATTGTCGGTCATTAAATAGGAAAACTAAATTTAAAAACAAAACAAAAACAAAATTGTGTAGATGATTTGTTTTATCAAGATTTTGCTTTAGTATAATTTTCGGGACAATTAAGGCCGGTTTCGGGATTCGGGACAACAGCTTAGATTTCGGGACTGTCCCGAATTTTTCGGAACTTCTGGTCACCCTAAGACCACCTCCTGAAGTGGTTTGAGTGATCGGATTCAAATCCGTCTCGAATGCGTTTCAGAGGGCATTTACATCTGGTCTTTTCACGATCGGTCACAGAAAACGCATGAAGTGGCCAGGTGTAAACAGCCCCCAATGGCAGCTGAAGCAACGCAAAGACGTTGGTAGGTCACATGACAACACGGTGAATGTTCCTCACACTGAACACTGTTCCTTCGTTGGCCAGAGGAGAACTGGCCCCCCGACTGAGTCTGGTTTCTCCCAAGGTTTTTTTCTCCATTCTGTCACCTGATGGAGTTTGGGTTCCTTGCCACTGTTGCCTTGGCTTTTGGCTTGCTTAGTTGGGGACATTTAATATTCAATAATATTATTGATCTGCCTTACTTAAGGTGGACGTTGACGCAATTTTCTTTTAGAAACAAACTTTGTTATATTGTTTTCATGTTATCACTGTGAAGCGCTTTGATACAATCTGTATTGTAAAAAGCGCTATATAAATAAAGGTGACTTGACTTGAATGTAGTACGTCCAGATTACATTCATACTAACTACACACACACGCATACTATAGCCTATTTCATTTTTTTTTATCAGTCGTGAAGTAATTATTTAAAATAAGTATGCCTACCTTCTACCTACTCAAGAAAGTATGGGATTTCGGACCCAGCCATTCGTTCAAGAATCAAACTACGCTCGCCGCGCTGCAGATTCAGCAGTGTTGTTGACATAGCCTACAAGCTATTCACTTCCGGTAAATTTGGTAGCCTACCTGTCTTATCGGTCCACCGTTGTTGACAGTCATCCACCAATTGAGGAAAGCACAGTACATTCCATACACTGTATGCTGTAACACACTATATTACCCACACGGGAAATGTTTATCTCGTCTTCTTGACAGTTGACACCGCTGATGGAGACCGTTTCGAGTTGCCGCGCTCCCGCCATTTAAGATCCAAACGACAGCAAGCAAGCATCATCAGTATGTAAGTGCCCAGTTACAAACTTTGAATATGACCAGATATATTTAAATACGGTATAAAGCGTGCACATTCTCAATAAATGTGGCTGTGAATATGCCCACACACACTTAGCTGTTGCACTTTGAAAGTGAGATCATAAATTGTCGGTCAGACTGAAGCAATCATCGTGTATGTATAAGTTACAGAAATGCAAATGGCAAATGTAACCCGGTCAATATAGGCACGGTAATAAATAACGCCGACTTTGGTTCAGAAGCTGAGGGCAAGAATGCGTTTCCACCACCCATGTCATTTTAATATAGTGGTTTAATCATGGCAGGGGTTGTTAAAGGCTTTGGCTGGCATACTCACCCTACGTACAGTTTCTGGGCCAGTAAGCTCGCCACGGAAGAACGCTAAACCCCTCATCTATATTTTCATCATTCGCATCGTGCCGAACAATCACGGCACGTCCTCGGCAGTCAACACAGACTGCATGATATTTTCTTTTTTAAATTAAAAAGACAAATGCCACATGTCTGGCAATAAAAGGGCTTTGATGGGAAATGATTCCAAGGGCGCCCGTTTTTACACCATTTATCCCGATACAAAAGCCTTTGTGAGGCGCCTGGAAGCGAGCATGTGCAGGGAGGCTGGATGGGGGCATGAAGGCAGATCGAGTGGAAGTTGGGTGTTAATACGGAGATTGGCCGGAGATTATCGCAGGTTCACGGAGATTCAGTCACAAGGTTTAAGTCGCTGCTTTTCTCCACTGGTAACCATGCCAACTGTGCCAGGAAACTATTAAACATCTCCGCATCAAAAAACAGGGTCCTTCAAAAGCCACAATGCAGGTCTATCCCACCCAAAACAGAATAAGCCTCTCATCAGTTGGGAAAGTTCCTCACCGAACAGGACTTTTTTTTTTTTTTTGAAGAGAGAGGGAGCTAGGATCCAAAACTCATTTTCATACATATTGTCTCTCCCACATTCGGGTGGGTTTTAAATGAAATTGTGAGAAACAGTGGTATTCAAAGCGACTCATTTGTTTAGCATCTGAATAGGCTGTATTTGATGTAAAAAGCATTCAAATGCATTTAACAGTTTCAAACTATTTTAATGTTTGAAGCAGTTTGATGTCTTACAAAATGTTGAAAGCATTATCCCCTGTGAAAATGCAAACATGGGCCTGAGGAAAATGCTTAACCCCGTAAAATAGTTAGAAACATCTTTGTTTTTTAAAAATGGAACAATTGATTGAAACTTAAACAATATATAAAAAAAAAAAAAAAAAAAAAAGTGTTGTTCTGTATCATATTTAATACACCAGACTTTTATGTCCCATATATTATGATATAGGAGAATATGGAGCTCACACTTGAGAAGAAAAAAAACAACAACTAATTTTTATTCAGAGGACCAAACTGCACAAAAATATTCTGCTTGGTAGTTGTTATTTATATATGGCCAAAAGTAGGATGAAATTCTGATAGCTTATCTTTATAATAATAATAGCAGACTATTTACATAAAATCTAAATAAGTTATCACTCTATATCTCCCAATAAAATATCTTAGCAGCAAGATTATATTAAAATGCTTCGTTTTAGGATTAAAGCTTTGTAGTTTTACTTATGGGGGGCAAAATGTATAATGCAATGCAATACAATGATGATTTCAAGAATCCTCAAAAGCCTGATGTATCATATGATACATTTTAACATGATTTTTTTCTAAAACAAATACACCTAAGTTGCTTCAGTCTACTAAATGTTCACTTTGACATATAACCAACAATATACATATTACTCTTTAGTTTACTTTTTAAAAATTATTAAAGATTTCAAAGCAAAATGTATCACCTGAAGGTGGACATTTTTCGAATTATACTAAAAGGCACTTTACTTGCAAAAAAAAGTATGAACAAACAACCATAGATCATAAGGCATGTAGTAAATTGTGTTTGACCATGTTAATAATTTAGAGGCCTTAGAAATTCGCATATCAAATATGATACAGTATGAATAAGGGTAAGGCCAGCGTGACAGAAGTCCTCCCTGCATAGGCTTCATGGACACCATTGTCCTGTAAAACAAAGAGCAGACCCCTTTCCCAGCAAAACTAAACCCATCCTACTTTCAATTCTCTTTTCATTGGTCTAAACAAAAACAAAACAAAAGAAAATAAACAACAAAACCCCTTAATTATGGCCTAGGTGGCTTGCAGGGATATTATTTCACGTAGGACAAGTGTTTAGCTGACAAGCGGTCTGAGCTTTTCTTTCTCTGCGTGATCAAAAAGCCAGGCAACAGATGTCAAGCTTTTGAATTTGCACACGGAACATGACCTCAGGGGTCAGGGCCTATACATCCTGCCCAGGCCCCAAGCTGTGTAAGGCGAGGGCTGAGCGTAGAGTCTCCCAGGGCAGGTGGGTCTGGGTACGCAACCATCCCAGCATTCCCTTGCACTGGGTCGTACTCGTACCGTAATGATGCCCCATTTGTGCCCCTCGTACATCTCTGTGGTGTAATGCGGGGCTTGACAATGTGCTGTTTCTGGCAGGGACCTGGGGTGGGGTGTAGGGGTTAACCTGGCCCACTCCATGGGAAAGAAAACATCAATAGAACTGGGTATTAGCAAAACTGAAGCATAGGTTACTCAGGAATTAATGAACTTTCAGGCAGACTCCTTATCCCGTATTGACAAGATGAAGTTGAAAAGCTGCTCAAGTCTCGAGTGGAGAACCACACAGAGGAGGGGTTGTGAGTGATTGCCTCCAGAGGAAAAAGAGCTCCCTGAAAGGGAAAAAACGAAGATAGAGAGAGAGAAGAGAGCTGTATCTTAAGACACTGTTGAGTGGTAGCACCATTTCATTCAAACAACTCTTTTTTTTTTTTTTTACTTATCCTAACAAATGTCAAGAACAAATCTCAGATGTCGTAGATCTCATAAAATACGGGTTTTTATGTTCTGCCTGGACATAAACAGGAAGTCTGGACAGATCAAAATGCTTGCCCCTATTTTTAAATGTCGAGTATAGATTTTAGTAACATTATGAGTTGCTTACTATTTTTTAATTTAGATTACCTTTGACATTATCTAATACTTAGTACGTAAATTTAATTTAAACTATGTTTTGTATCACCCTGTATTCGCTATGGTAAGCCTTTTATAAGTGTTTATATTTTAGCCCGGGCTGAATGGTTTTAACTGGAAATGGCGTAGGCTGTATATGTCACTCGCCTGTGTGTGTCTCGTCATATTCTTAAATAGAGAAAAGTTTCACTGGCATGTATGGTGTGAGAGATTGGCATAGGTTGGTTGTCACAACGAGCGAGAAAGGTTGGCATGGTAAATCTTGAATCACCCTTTTAAAATAAATAAACCCGCTGAACAAAGAAGTCTGGTGGCAAAAAGAAAATGTGACTGAGCTTGTAATAAAACTAGTCAACTTTTGGCTTGGCTCCGACGTGGATATGGCGTTTTTATTACTCACCAGGTGAGTAAAGTATTTTATTGAACAGATAAATTGCCATATAGCTCTCTTACAGAGTTCAAGCATTATCTATTGGAAGTGTCATTTCATGTTGTTGCAGCGCTGTGCTGTAATTTAATTTCTAGGAAGTACCGTTTCTATTATGGGTATAGCTACAGTAACGGCGTCTTCAGTTAGTCAACTTGAGATCCTTTCCATCTAAACTGGCTATATCTCTTAAGCCTATAGTGAAGGTGTTATTAGCAGTAGGATAATCTCTCTGGCCAGAAAATCAGTTATAAAAAATTTCAACTTTTGACCATATCAGACTAGCAATCGTCATGACAACTTTTGTAACATCATTAATTAAAAAATATCAGTGTTTCTAATTAGTCAAAAGTCATGCAGAGCTGAAGCAAAACTAAAACAATGCACAACTAAAACAATGTTCTTCCTTTTATGTGAGAAGTTTGAATATATTTTCAGTTCATTATGAAACTGGTGGGACAGAGTAGACTACGGCCGGCCGCCACAATCTAGTTAATGAATGGGAAACACTGTATAAACTAGGGCTGGGCGATAAATGATACCATCGAGATAAAATTTACGTTGATAACGATGATAAGCTCAGGACATTTTTACCCAATATGGATTAATCTAACAGCCTATCACACAGCAGACATAAACGCGACAACAGCCTGTCAGTTTATGTCGCTAATAACTAATAAGTGATTTTGAATGAACTGCACGGTTTCGTCTGATACCCAAACTCACACACATGTGACGCTCACAGTGTTTTCAGCATCTGCCCTCTAAATTTATGAGGACATGAACACATGAACCTTATCTCACACTGAAACTAAAATTACTGAAAGATCTTCTTGTCAAATGGTAAAAAGTTTGTTTAACTTCACAGAAAACTTAACTTTGACAGAAATATCTCACTACTGTATACTAAAATGTATTTATACTAGTAATAAAAAATCTAATTAATATTAATAATACTTGTCACACAATATCACACAATCAATATATTTTTTTCATCCATGTTTTAAATGTATGCAGTTCTGTTGTGCAGCATCTTGTTTGAAAAATAAATAAATACAAATACGTTTTGTTGTAAATTAATTGTTATATTTTCATGTGATATTTTACCTATTAATAGTAAATTAATATTGTGGTAAATATCGTATTGTGATAATATTTTTGGCCACATTGCCCACCACTACTATAAACATTAATTTGTGGCTATTTAAACATGCTATTAGGGCTGCATGATATTGAATAAAACTGCGATATAACTGGATATTCGATGTGAGATACGATAATACTTTAAGTGTGTAAAATTATTTTCAGTTATGTTTAAATATATTTAAAAACTTAAAATGTTATACCAAAGACAGCCAACACACATGTTTCACATTCTTTTGTGAGAAGAAAGCATCCCTACAACTTCTGAAAGTGAACAGCAGTGTTTTACTGTAACATTACATACAAAGTAAGTGTCATTTTAACGTCACTGTAAACCAGGGAGTTTAAGGTTTCAGGTA